ATTTAATAATAACGCAGCGGTTATATATTCAATAATATTTCTTTTATTACTTCTAAAAATTATATGGCGACGATATGGTGGGGTTTTGCATCCAAAAAGTGAGAGAGAAGATAGGCAAGCGAGATGCGCATTCGCGAGCATTGATTTATAATTAGGAATTTGTTCTATCAGTTTGTTGATTACATTTCATCATTCGCTCCCGACCTTTCTCTCTCCTTTCTCTTATTCTCTTTCGCGAAAACGACGAGAAATGTATCTTTCGGAAAATATAGGATAGAAAAGAAAAGAGGTCATGAATTTTGAGAATCTCTTATCACAAGGTAATATCGGAAATTCACAGGATGTTTTGCTTAGAGAGGACAAATCTGGGGCTGTAGTATCTTAGGTATCTCGTCTGCTTTATATTAAACATCCGCAGATGAAAAATTTTAATCAGCACGGCCCCTCTTGTCATTTTATTAATTAAATACTCGTCTATAATCTTAATAAAGTGTTTCAGTCTATGAAAGAATTAAATATATATCTCAAAAAATGGCAGTGCTAGACTGGTTCTGTTTCGATCTTTGAATTTGGAATTATGCCAACGATGCGCGGTCGTGTTTGCGTATCATTTGATTATTAATAATTAATTATTCCACATAACACGATCGTATAGAGATATCATTTAAGCTAAGATTTATTTCAACTCTGAAAAAAAATATTTTACGTATTAAATTTCAAGCCATTCAATTTTTCATCTGCTTCATGTAGACTATTTCTTAAACATTTTTATTATCTTGCTTTTCGGCGACATGGATGAAAGTTAAATATCTATAATAATATAAAACATATTGTCTCTCCCTTTCTCATTCCATCTCTAAAATTAATCTGAAAGTATAAATAATTACATATAAGAACAGCATATCTGAAATTATGTTCTTACAACTTAAGAAGTTCTTCTATCCATGTCGCTAATTACTTTAATAATTAAGCATCACGTTCGCGCATGTGCATCTTTCCAAATTTTACAAACTTTGCATTAGACTCGTACATTTTCTAAGCACTAATTCGTAAGCTGTCTTTTATCCCGTCAAAACGTTTGTTATTTCATTTGTCAGAGCACGCAAACGTTTACTTTATTGAGACAATTCAGAATCCGTTGAAAATATCAATGATCACGTATCGAATTGCTAGAATTCGGCAGTAATAAAATGACAATGAGAAAAACTCTTTTCTCTTTTGTTATAATAAATAAGTTATACATATAACATTATATTACAGAATATAGTATCATGTACTTTACGAAAGTATCTATTTCCGCACAATTTAATCTTGAAACTGAAGCATATAATCCATTATCATCATTATACAGGGTGTAACAATCAGACAATACAAATTATTAATAATAATCTTGTAACTTTATATTACAAATTTTAACAAACTTTAAAATTTAAATGGTAATTCTAATAAAAATAATTATATGCATACTTTAAAAACATTTAGTATAAAATAAATAACTCTTACTACATATATTGTATCCTTGCATTATTGTGAAATATTTTTATACTAACACACTCGTCCAGAATTGCATCGATTGAACGATGACCAATAAAATGAAAAGCATCGGATTCATCCATTGCCATTATATGGTTTTTCGTTACACTCTGTATGCAGGAATATATGTTGCAAATAATCTTGATCTTTTATATGCAAATAGAACAGATTAAAGTAAAAAAGTTCTCTACTGTTTTGCGATCTTCATCATAATTAATGAGAAATTAATTTTAACAAATTAGTTGATCCGCCTATTGTTACGCGGTTACTAGACACGTGATGAAGTGTTGGGATTAATAATCAGGTTTAATTATAGGTGCATTGCAGTTAGCAACTGTGTAGCATGAGGCTGCTTTTTTTTCTCGCTTCGAGATTTCTTAATTTCTTATTAATTATTGCAAAGACCGCAAAAGGGTAGAAGAGTTTTCTAATCAGTTTAACTCGCTCTATTTTTGCATCCAAGAAATCGAGCGATTATTACCGGACACCCTGTACGCAGTATATACAGAACGCGTTGCGAAGTGATCTAATTTCAGTTCTGGCGGAAGCGGTAGTTCAGTTGGTCAGTGACTATTATCAAATGTGTGACATGATGAGCTCTTCACCATGCATGGGAAACTTGCTTTGCGAAATAGAACATTTCAATATTAGCGTGATAAAATTATAGACGTCCACACCTGTCGCATTTTATTCAATAAAATAAAATACTGAAGTAGTTTTCTTTACGTAATCGTGTATTTTCAACGGATTCTCGTGTACCTATCGGACAAACACAACGTAGAACACATGATCGATGCGCATGATTGATGAGTAATGATCATAGACTTATGTACACGGATTCAACTGTTTACAATAAATAAGTCTTTAATAAATATGCCACTATATTAATAGGTCGCTTCTACAAAAAAGAAAAAAAATCGCAGTGAGATTGAGGCTTTTTTCACAAATACACTTATCTAGATTCGATGAAACTCTTAATTGGAGAAACAAGGAATCGTAATGGTTTTATCGTTGACAATGAGTAACTGAACCCTTCGAACGGCATCCGATAATCGAACACTTTTTATATAAATTTCAATTGGAACGAAAATCATAAATATAAATGAGCGCATTTCGGAGTGTCATTATCTGATTCGTTATCAATCAATTCCATCTAGAAAAATGTCTCTTTGACTATATTTTTACAGTAACATTAAAGCTGATTTCATGAAATTGAACTGGTAAAGAGTTAAAAATTATATATTAGCAAAATTTTACACGGAGATTTGTTCTATAGTTAGACATCGATTACTTGCTCTGATAACATTTTGATTGCTTGATGAAACTGTAATGATAAATTTTGATTACGATATAATGGATATTGTAATTAAGACCTTCGTATTTTTTACTTCGATATTGTTGAGCATCGTGAAACGAGTTTTGAAAATAAAATTGGCGTGCGAGAGACAGTGATCGGGCAGATAAAACTTAAAAAAACAGCACGTTAATTTGCGTCGATTAATTGATCTCCTTGATAAAAATAAAAGAAAAACCAGTATGTTACTTAGCTTCGTTATAAATACTGAGATTACATTGAACGAATTTACACGGTTCCAAATATATATATATATATGTGTGTGCGTGTGTGTGTATACATATACATACGTACACGTCACTCGTAAAAATATCGCGTTTAATTATTGCGTTTAATTTCAAAATCGTGAGTTTAAATTCACAATTTGACTAATCGCTCATAGAAATTTCTTTATGTAATATCTAATAAACGTAAATATCTAAACTCGTCCTTTTTATATTCTATAATTTGTATATAATTTATGCTAATTAAAAAATTATTTTGTTACGAAATATTACATTAAGCGTAATCGGAAACATTCGCTTAATTTCATTTGAGAAGCATAATTTACGAGACTATTAATTTTTATCGGATAGTTCCATTTCCTTAATTAATTAGATTCGATTTCTATTACCGTCTCGAGAACAATTGCATTTCGTGCTCGAATTGATTTTATCGCTCATATCTCCTTCAAATCGCTTATTGTCTTGCGCTCCTCGTTTACTAAAATACTATTATAATCTTTTATACTTATGCGCTAATCGTGCTAATTAGGACAAAGTTCGTCAGTGATATATTATACAAGGAGTTTTTTATGTATCGATATACGTAGCGAGACGAGTGGTTTATATACATAAATTAATAAAAAAAAGAAAGCATAATAATATTATTATACTTTTGAGAACATCTATTTATCTTTTCATATAAGATAAAGTATAATTTTAAATAACATCTTAATTCGATAATTTAATTTATTACAATCTGCAAACTTTATGCTAATTTGTGCAAACATTAACATGCATGCTTTTAAATTTCTTATGCTTATCTCTATCTGGTGTCATTTGATATAAATGTGACTAGTTTTATAATATATTTGTAGATTCTATTTACATAATTTTCTATTCGATTTATTTCACACTCGCATCTATAATAGTAATGTTAAATGAGAGAGTCACATTTAAATATGCGATAAAGATACGTACCTAAATTGTCATGCTGGAAATATGCTCTGTAATTGTTAAAACTATTAAAGATGTTGAAAAGTCTTATGTTGTGTGTGGTATAAGTAATATTAATTAAATTATCGAATTTAAATTATAAAATTTGAAGAAATTTTATTACTAATGTAGAGATTCTTTTTTTTTTATGAAATTTTTAGATTTTAAAGAGAATTCTTTGAGAAATCTCTCAAAGAGCTGGAAGAATCCATAAATAAAAAGAGATCAGAAATTGCACATTTGCATGCATTGCGTCGATTTATCAGCCATTAATAAAAAGACTTGTAATCAAAGGGTATTTGCTTCTAAAATCGAATGAAGATTACGGAAACCGCATAAAAGATATGCAATTAGCTTATTTGTCGAGCTTCGTGACTTGTTTTGCCGCCGAGAGGAAAGTGCTTTGAAATTAAAATCGTACTTCGTGCTTGTTATCCAGCCATTTGATATTCCTGACCGGTAATTATCCCTTTTCGGATAATAAGCGTAAGAAACACACTTTAGCCGACATCCTCCCATCTCTGCCTGAACAAGCAACACTGACTCTTATCAAATGTTAATTGAATCTCGACACGAAATCCGCGTCTCTCTCGCCACGTAAATCTCAAGGATCGACATAGAAACGATTTCTGTCAACAAAATTTCATTCTTGATCTTCAATATTCAAATGTTTTTGTCTCATGAAATGCATCATCAATAAACATTGAAGCTTCTGATACTCATTAATAAATAATTTTATTATCAAATGATAGATCACTTTTTTTATTTTTACGTCTTATATTTCCATCAAAGATTTTCATCAATATTTTTATTTTAACATTTTTTTTTATTTATTTAATTCTTTCTCTTGTATATTTAAAAAGAATAATTTTTTTCTATATAGAATATATAGAAAGATATTCACAAATACTCTTGATAACTGGAATTAAGAAAGAATGAAATAAACCAATTCAGGTTTTTTATAATTCTATTTTGTATATTAAAATGAAATTTCAGAAATCTTTTTTCGTGTCGTTAATAATGTTGCGTAAAAAGATACATAAACGATAAAAATCGAATTTTTCGTCAACAATTAGGCCATAGAAATTTTAATCAATAGAAAAGATACTTGAAATAACAAATTTCGAAATTTGATTTAGAATGTAAACTTTACTATTTCTCAATTATTATTTTAAATTTCGCCGTGATAATTTGATCTCACCGGTCGAAATCGTAACCACATCGATCCTTTTATATCGCGAGTATTTAAACTTCGGTACAACGTATATCATGCGTGCACGTGTCGTACATGAATGTGGAGTTGTAGAACGTATAGAGTGATTTCTATGTACACTTAAGTTTTTACAATGACATTTGCATACAAATATCATTCTCCTATCACTCGAGAAACGAGAACGGCGTCACATCGCCAGTCGCTCTATAGGAAATCTCGTAGTCGATCTCGTCCCGGTCGTATTAGAATCATTGTCTCTGTCGTCCTTTTCGTCCAGCCTAAGCGTGGACACTTCAGCAGTGGACTCTACCATTTCGGTCGATTCAACGAGCAAGAAATTCGACAAGGAATTTGTAGAGTCCTCGGCCGAGGAGTCGCGCCAGAGCGAGGACGAAGAGGCAGGAACTGGCGAGGATTGAGGAAGCTGAGGAATAGATGTGGCACTCCACGCGCTCGTGGTTTCAGGAACTTTGGTGGCTGACGGTAGATCTATCTCGCTCATCGTCGGCGTCGATTTCGATCGAGCCGGCGAATTCGAGAACGACTTTCCCTTCCTACGCGAATTCCTCGAAGACGACGGCGGTTTCCTACGACCAGATGGCGGCGAACTCGGCCTTCGGGCGAAGGAGAGAACGGTTGACGCACCAGGAGGAGACTGCGACGAGGACGATGTGGCTGTCAAAACCTCGCTGATAGGCGCCATTCGCGGCGAAGAGACCCTGACCGTGGCAGACTCGTACTGCTTCTGCGAAGACGGACCCTTCCTCTTCGTCTTTTTCCCGTCCGTCAAATCAGGCTTTTTACTTTGACTATCGGCGACGTTGACGTTTGGCTTTTTCGCTTTGTTGTTCTTACCGTTGTTGAGCGTGAGATTCCCACCGTCGTCGTCGTCGTCTATCCGCGACTTCCGCTTCTTCGCCGGCACCGAAAGAGCCTGACGTCTGCAGGCCTCCTCGCTGGCTGCTCCCTCGCAGGATCTCTTCGACTCTAGGCTGACGTTGCCGGCCTCCGAAGACGCGTCGACGTCCGACCCTTCGGCGACTCGGCACTGGGGACCAGGTTGCTCGCCCGGTCTGCACCGTCGCCTTCGCTTCTTCCTCTTCTTTCGTTTGCGACACCTGAACCTGTCTCTGCCGTCTTTTTCCTGCTCCGGCATGGTTGGACAGATGGATTGCTGCGCCACGTCGCCGGGATGCACCCGATGATGACCTCGCTCGTGATGCCGATGTCGCACATTGTGCGCAGCACCCAACATCCGCCTATGAAGAGCCTCCACCCGATCGAACGGAGCCATCTGCGTCAACACCCGGGCGTAACCAGACAATCTGCCCAGGTTGTGACCCTTGGCTAGTACCTTCCTCGGCTGGCCGAACCGATTCAGGCCGAGGTACATGGTCCTCTTCGCCGTCGACCAGCGTATCGAGCTGTACGTGTTGTAGTTATGCTGCTCCAAGGTCTCGTTAAAGACGCAGTCCTCCGTATACTCGCGCTGAAGCAGAAAATTCAATGATAGCTTTAGAAATTGTGGACTTTTATTGCGTGCAATGCTTTTTATTATTGCGAGGGAATTTATTCGGCTTATGAAACTATTTGGGTTTATTTTTAATATTATTGAAGAGAGAGAGAGAGAGAGTTCGTAGGATTATTTTCTTGTTTTGAGAGATTATCTCTTCCGCAAATCTATTCCTACTTTATGGTCGAAATACATGTGGCAAGTATATGTTTGCTCGTGACAAGTATATGAAGCAAATAAAGTATTATTAATATGTTTGAAGAAATATAAATTTTAAAGTTAAATATGCAAACTCCGTTACACACATAAACTTGAATAAACTTGTTAAGAGTTAAGAGTTATATAATATATATAATACCCACATAAGAAAGCAAATTTATACTTTTTGGTAATTTTGATAATTCTAAAGGATACTGAAAAAATGTATACATAAGTTTATTTTAAGAAAGGAATTTAAAAAAGTAATCTAAAATTTAAATTATTTTCTTACAAGAGTTACACATTCTTTGAAGATATCTTACAATTTTATTTATACAATATTATTAATTTACATTGTAAGAATGTTGTAACCGGCTTTGATTATTTTTCTTGAAGAAATTAAGAGAAACATAAAATATAATACTTTTAAATTGATATTTTTCTAGAAATATTATTTTTGCTTATATGTTCCTCTTTTTAATCACCATCTCAATTAAGCTCTCGCTTTGTAAGGCACTGTGTATATCATGATATAGATTCTCGACACATTGTTTGCATTCGGTAATGGGCAATAATAAACGATGCACACGTGTGCGTAACAAAGTTAACACCAATTAAAGCGCTAATTTTCTAACAGAGTATTAAGGGTAATGAGAATCTGACTGACAAATTAATGATACAAGATAGGCATTATTTCATTGGTTGATTACATAATTTTGCTGTCCGTTTTATAATAATTCGAAGATGAGCGGAATCACAGCAATATTTTTAACAGAGTATTGCATTGTTTGTTAATTTAATTATGCAAAAATGAATACAGTTTCAGTTTCCTTTTATAAAATGCCGTGTGTCTGAACTTTAAGAAATCAAAAACAAAAGATATTTAATATTGCGAGAAATACACTTAAGCAGTTAATTAATTTTTTTAAATAATTAAATAATTATTTAAACTAATTAAACTTTTTTAATAGATAGCTAGAGAATAATATAAATACTTAATACCAAATGCCATGATATTAAAATAATTTTTTTACATCGCAATTTTGCGAATTTTGATCTAATTACGAAGAATACATCTTTGCGATTAAAACCAGCTGCGTAACTTTATAACAAATCTCTTCCTCTGTCGCATCAGCAAACTGGTCTATCTACATTATGTGTGTACATAAATATGGATGAGTTCGAATACTATGTATCGACAGGTTCACGTGGAGTCAAAGTCAACTAGTTTCTTATCTTATATTTAATTTAAAGTTTTTAAGAATATTTCATTTCTGGATTGCCGTAAAAATCGATATAGAAACGATATATTGAAAGTCAATGAATATTACAAGATAGTCAATGGTATATTATAAAAGATTGATAATTTGAAAAATTAACTTACATTTTTAATAATAAATGAGAAAAAATCTTATATATTTTTGCCAGAATTTTTTTGAAAATGTAAAGAATTTTAAAATTATTTAGGGAAACAAGTCAAAATTTTATAAATTATATCAAAATTAAAAATATAATGCCTTTGTAACTTTACGTCAAAGTCAAAGAAAACTTTTTATACTTTCTTATGTGGTTATCATATATTGTAAAAATATTATACACGATAATAAATCTCGTAAATTTTTTTTATGTAAATCAAGATTTTTTATTTAAAGTTTGAAATTTATAAAGCTTAAACATCAATTCCTTTAGAAAATTTGGCAAACTATTTTGGCTACAATGACTCAAGTCCGTTTTGGCAGCTATTTTAACTATAGCGGAAGTACGATGCAGATGCCAAGAATAATGTACACCGGTATAATGTATGCAAAAATTTTACCTCAAATTTTTGGAAAGATGTCAAAATGTCACTTGATATATATATATATATATATATATGTACAATTTATAAAATCTGGAAGAAAGTAAAATTTCTTTGAAAGTTAATTGTGACAAAGCTTCAAAGCAATGTTTTTTTCTTCATTCTTTTTTTAATCAATTTTTTAATCACATATTTAATTTTTTTTTAAGAAAATGTGATTAAAATACTATAGAAAAGAAAAGAAAATTAAAAAATTGCATAAAACTAATTAAATTATAAATTTTCTACAAGCTTTGCTATACAGAATCTTATCAAAGCATTATATCGGTGTTTGATACGAGGATCAATAAATATCTGTTCCCAGGTTATTAATTATTAGAAAAGAAAAGAGTAACGACGATAGCTGGTTAATGAAATGCAAAAGATAAAAAATAAAGAAACGTGATCAATCACATATCTTGTTCGATTTCTTGAGGCTATTATTATTAATACGTTCAATATATTTTCACACATATTTATTAGAATATAGATACTAACGAGCACTACTTTTTTTAGACTCAACTATAATATAATAAAATTGTAATAAATGTATTTCTAACAGAAATATTATTTGAATAATAATTATTTGTTGAAATAATCGCTCGGTGACATTTCGTCGATGATTCGTCAATTAACCACTTCTCGAAAATAATTTTCCTCTAATGATCGCAAAGATATAGTTTTTCCACGTCAGAATTACGATTAAATCGCTCATACTTATATCACTTTGAAGAATCTGCTTGATTATCTGACTATTTTGTGGTTCTATTTTTGTCTTCTAAAACAAGAAAGTGCTTTCGTGCACTTCTGCATGCATCTGTGACTCGATGCTTAAAGGCTTTTGTCAAGGGAGGGAGAATCGGTCAGCTGTTAGCTGTAAACTGACAGCTGAAACTCGGAACTTAAATCTCATATTACACACTGCGTGTGTGTATCGACTTTCTCTCAATTATTACTTTCTCATAATTGTTCTGACATTAATAATGTTCGGCTTGTAATACATGAATAATAATGCGTCTTATTGAATTGCCTCACTTCGAAAGTGAAATCCCCCTGTCTATTTATTGTATATACGTATTATTATTATTATATATACATAATTTTTATATTCATAATTTCCATTATGCAAGTTTCATAAACTTATTTGTTAGTAACAAGTAAAATCCATTTAGTGTTTGTGTAATTATATTAAACACTTTAAGCTTTTAACTTAGACAAATATAATGTCAACTCATAATTAAATAAACACATTTTACTAGCAGTACTATAACATCAAAAATAAATATTTTATTTATATAATATTTAAATTTGATTTAAATTTTGATATATAAATATTTAAGATATATAAAAGTTATGTCATTTTGTATTTTAATACAACGACATTCTTCAAAAGATGTAATTCGAAAGCGCAGGCTGCAGATGCTTTGTGTTTCATTCCGTGCAATTAACGAGGTGTAATCAAGTTGATGATAATAATTAGGGCCGTGTCATGATAATGAATTGCGGATAATCCTTTATCGCGTAATTACGGAGCTGAGAAAGAGAGGGAGAATCAGTGAGTGTACGTGCATATTTGCACGTACACGTGGAACCAGTTGTTGGAAGAGCCTTAAAAGTGCTGCCGATCATTCTTTATATCGTTTGATAACGGATCGCCATTATCAGTACTTAAAGAACATTTTCTAAAACAGGATTGATATGCACATACTCACAAAATATTAAGTTATTTATTCTCTTCAATTGTAACAATTGAATAAAAATTATATTCGTACACGCTAATAATTAGTTTTCGATAGCATGAAGAAATATGCTGGAAGAAAATTAACTTTTTTGTATTTTTTTAAATCATTATATGTCTATATTCAGATTTCACCTTTTAAATAATTTTCCTATTAAAATTTCTTTTTTTTATTAACTTGAAACAGTTGGAACAATTTTTTCAAATATTTATGTGTTCTATAATTTAATTCGATATTTGCGATAAAATTAATATCATAAATTTAAAATGTCTTATGTTTATTCTTTTACGAATAATAAATCTCTCTTCACACATCTTTTTCTTTAATCGAAGTGATGAGAAATAACCGAATAAGATATAGATATGGTATTGCGTATGTGAATTGTGTGATTCTAATGAAGGGAAACCGCGCTGGGATAAAATTTATTTATTTATGTTCTATAATCGCGTCACGGTAATTTGTTCTATATCGATAAAAGGAAGGCGTTACGTCTAATCCAATTTGTGATTTAATTGCGTTATTGGATGCTGATTCAAAGTGAATACAGGCGCCGCGCGTCAATAATCATAAATCATCGGATTGAATCTTTCATTTTGATTATATATGTAGTCACATACGTAATTACGATATTATCAAATTTACATCTTTCACGAACGGTTTTTCAGACATTAATAATAGAGGTGACGTTTATCATGCTCTGCGACCTTATAATTTCCATGCAAGAATATCACGTTCTTTTTATTTATTTTTTCCCGACTTGACATGCTAATATCCCAATTGCTATTCTTCTATGACAAATTATGAATTATCGCGTTTGATATTCGAATAATAGTTAATAGAATAATTTCATGACAAAAATCTGCGCGCTCTCAAAGAAATTTCTCGATTCCCGATATACATCAAATAGACGCTGGTCGGCGGGAAGATTTATATTCCCTCGAAGGAGAAACGGATCCTCGATTTTTTTCTCTCGCGCGCGTGACAAACAAGATTTCGTCCCTATCATCTATATGTTTAAGACGCTTGAAATGGAACGAATTTAGCATACGACCGTTACGTGCACGTTTTTATTGCGATGTAATCGATTTACAATGTTACGGGAAACGAAATTCTCGAGAGAGAATCGTATATAGACAGGCTGGCGATCCCGGACATGAAAGTTAAATGCGAAACGATGTTTGTTCCTCTCCCGATAAAGTCGC